GAACTCGCGCTGCACATACTGAATAATGTCTGATCTGCAACCGGCTCCCTTCAAAATTCGGACAAACTCAGCCCGACCAGGGTGGCCCAGGTTGATATGTGATCTAAGCAGCGCCCTCTTTTCCTGGGCGCTGAGGTCGAAGCCTTCGGCATAGTTGCTGGTGTCCGGGATCCAGTCATAGAAGACCAGCGCGGCATCAGCTTGCGCCACTTGTCCATCCGTTTCTCCCTGACACCTTTTCTCGCACCACCGCCACTTGTCTCCGTCAAGGACGGCGGTCCACCGCCATGGCCGGTTGCCAGGCCCAACTTCTCTGATTGGAATCCGGCGCGGGTCCAAGCACAACATGGTCAAGTAGCCCTGGTCGTGCTCCCATAGTGCGCGTTTCCCGGTCTTCCGGACTTGCGCGCTCTTCTCTCGAAGCTCCTCCAAGGCCATCAGGTTTGGCGCTTTCCGGTTCCGCCGTTCCTCGGCCCCGGCTTCCATGAACGTGTCCACGGTGAGACTTCCGGTCATCTTTTCCAAGCTCTGGTTGAGCAGTCTCTTTGTGCCCTTGTCGAACGTGACCTCGATCGGGTCATGCCGGATGTCCTCTAGCTCTTCCACAAAGTCGCGCTCGCCAAGGTGGTAGTCGATGGGGTGCTTATTCTTTGTAATGTCCAGCACATTGACGTCGCCATCATCGACATTGAAAATCACCCTGGCCGAAAGCGGTGATTTCACCATCGTGTTCCGGCTGCCGGGCACTTGGTCTCCGGTAAATGCCCACACGTAGCTGCGCTCTGGCGCCACGATGGAACCCAGCATCTCCAAGCTTTCATAGGAGAGGCCTAGCTCATCTCCAGTCTCCTCCTCAGAAAGCCCTCCTATGGCTTCCCATGCTCCATCCACCTGTGTGTCCTGTCCGGACTGTAACCCCCAGCTCGAAGGAAAGTGGCCATTACATCGTCCCATTCGGATGCCAAGATCTGGTCGTGGCACCTGGGGCATCGCCAGGCCATCCTGTCCCTCAACTCGTGCGGCTTGAGGGCTTCCCAGGCACAGTCGAATCTCGAAAGCCGCCATCAGGTCGTTGAGGTTCATCACCCGCTCCATGTGAACGGGCAGTTGGGGTCGCCTCGGGCACAAACCCACAGATAATGGGACTTGCCCTCGGGCCAATTGAGGGTCAACTCTCCCGGACATTTGGTGCACGAACGCGTCGGCCGTTATAGTCGAAGAGGTCGGTCGAGCCGAAGCCGCCGGCATAGTCGACGATGTCGGTCGTGCCGTAGACGCCGTTGTCGGAAATGACCTCCTCCAGGTCGTGGGCGCTGGTGCAGTCGAGCTCGTCGATGTAGCCGTCGCCTTCGCCATCTTCTTGGCTTCCTTCGCCTCTTTGTGTCTGGTAATTGGGCGCCTGGTACACGAGCACTGAGTTCCACTCGGTAAGCTTGTCCGGGGTCCTCGACCGCCCCGCAGTCCTCGCATTTCGTCCAGGCCCAATCCCGATTGCAGCCGCGCCGTGCCTTGTTGTGCTGGCACGTGGGCGAGCTTCGAAGGACTGGTGCCAAGAATTGGCTCCGGCCAGGTGCTGCACAGCTGGACGCTTCAACTCTCCATCCTCCTTGTCCATGCTCATGGCTCGCGGCGGGCCTTTGGTCGCAGCTGTCTTCCTCGAAGCTTCCAAAAGCGCTGCCTCCTTCTGCTGCATGTCGAAGACCTGGCGCTCCAGCCGCTCGCGCCTCGCCGCCAAACGTCGGACGTCTCGGAGCTCTGGCTGCTGCACCACCGTCAGCAACGAGTTGGTAACCTGCATCCAGACCACCAAGCGCAAGCGCAAGAAGAAGCGTCTCCATCGAAACAAGCATGCTGATGGAGGCATCGGCTGTTCGAATTGGGTTGGGAATGGGTCCTCCAGACCACACTTGAGATTTCCCAAAGCTGGCAGAAGAAGGCATTTGGAAACCCTTGCCGTACTCAGTGATGCATACTTCAACATGACCTGTGGCTCGCCTATGCATTTGCTGCGTCACGCCCAGTGTGGTGTGGCACATGTTCAGGCCTACCATGTCGATAACACTGCCCATGTCAGTCAGAAGGTAAGCAGGGAGCAAACATGGCACTGCGCCAGGAACAATCTGAACTCGAAGAAGGCCAGAACAACCTCCGATCCCAATCGGGATACAGGCGATCGGTGCGTGCTCCTCCGACCCACAGACCCCCCTGACTGTGCCACCATCCTCATTGGTGTGCTTGATCCTCATCCCGAACTGATTTGCCAGATGTTGATCCAGTTTAGACAACGTTTCCTGCCCAATCAGCCCATGTTGAGCCGCCGTGTCCACCAAAGCCCGCCCAGGTGTCTCGGTAGCCGTGGCAAAGTTGTAGGACAGAAAGTCCCCGACATCAGAGACATGTGGCGGTTGGCTCGGAGAGCTAAAGCAGAAGTAACTGAACTGTTGTTGAGTCAACGTGTCTGGCTGGCAGTTGCTCATGTGTTGCTCTTCGGTCGGATCCGCTGCACTCATGGTCAGGTACCCTGAGCTTTGCGCCGAGGGTTCTACAAAGAACATGGCCGTCGTGGGCCGGTTGGAGCTTGGTGGTCCGCCTCCTGCTGGTGGCCGCTGGCGTCCCTTCAGTGGACAGTTGCGGGACCAGTGACCCAGTTGCCGACAGGCATGGCACCTTGACTTGGCATGAAGCTGCTCCATGGAGAGTCGCGGTCGCTGGTCACCATGTCGGTCGAAGCCGCGGCCTTTCCGAGCATCTTGCAGCGCTCGCCGGTGTTCCATGTAGGAGCCGTAGACGCCAAAGGTGCCCGGTGGCAAAGGCTTCTTGCCAAAGCTGCCTTTCTGGCCCTTTCCTTTTCCGAAGCCTTTGCTCTTGCCACGCTTGCCCGGCTTTCCTTTGCCCTTGCCCTTCGCCCGGTCACGGGCTTCGAAGAACACCCAGCTAAGGTGCTCGCCGGCGTACTCGATGGCTTCCGTTTCGTTGTCCCGGGGGAGCTCGTCCACGATCATGTAGATCTCGCCCGAGTCGGGGTCAAAGTCCAGAAGGTCCTCGAAGAAGCTCCGTGGCTGTGGTCACCATAGTAGCTGTCGAACTCGCCGGAGTCGCCGCCATCGCCGTCTCGCCAGGCTTCTTCCCAGTATGTCTTTGACTGGCTGTCGTCCAGGGAGTCGCCGAAGATCTTCCTGATCGCCAGCTCGATCTTCCGAAAGTCAATGCTCCCATCGGTCAGCACTCGTATCCGCTGCTGTTGGTCCACGGTGAAGCCTCCCTGCTTAAGCAACAAATGCCCAAGCAGATGGTTGCCAGCATCCGTCGCCAGCATGTCAAGCCCCTGCTTCTTCAACTCTGCAAAGGCTGCCTTCTTGGTGGCCAAGAAGCCCGTGAGCGTCTGACCCGGTCGCCGCCGACCACGGAAGATCGCAGCATCAAACGCCTGCTCCAGCCTGGCTTCCTTGAGGTAGGCGTGCGAGTCCTCGATCACAGTTATGATCTGCTTGTAGCCATCGGGCGCGGTGATGTCATCCACCGACAGGTGCGCCAAAGAAGCAGCCAGTCGACTCCCAAAGGGGATCACGTCCAGAATCCTCTTCCCGATCAGGCAAATGGCGTGTCGGCTATGGGGCGACAGGTCTCAGAGCTGAGGGGAATTACAGGGGCATGAGGTAGCGGAGGAGCCGTGGCCACGCTAGATTTCGGCTTCTTGCAAAGTGGCTGGCAGACAAGCACGGCCCGCCAGCGAGGATTCTGCAGGGGATCTACGTATCCGAGCCACCGGCATAGAAGCAAAGAGCAGCGCGAGCACACAGCTACAGTACCTACAGACCTTGACAAACAACAATACAAAATGGCAGGCCAGCCAGCGCTGACTGACTTGCCACATGCCCGAAGTGCAAGAGGGTCTTGTCTAGCAAAGGCAGCAAGGTAATGGCACCGGCCGGCTGCTTGCACAACCTGGCTGGAAGCCGCGCCTCGGCGTCTATGAGCCAAAGCTTCAGATTTCGGGCGTACTCTCTGTACTCGCTCTCCGGGTGCTCGCCGTTCCATGAGGGCGCCGGCTCCATCTTGTAATCCACGAAGCGCCGTGCTTGGCCTTCATCCGATCCATCGAGTCCTCGGCGTCCATATGGTGGCGTCCCACTCGGAGATCTCGGCCTCACAGGCGAAGCCGCTCCGAACTCTCCTTGTCCCGAGCGTTGTCCACGCTCTTCCTCCGTAGCCATTCCACACAGTCACCCGCAATGGCTTCACAAAATTTTCTCCAGTCTTGCTCCTGGAGCCCGCGGCTGGAACACAGCCGCCCCACACCAGTCCCCAATGACTGGTCCACAAAAGTTCTAGGCCAGGCGGCCCGGTGCCACTGAAAAGCAGGTACTGCACGAAGTTGCACAGAATGAAGACGCGAAAATCCTCGGCGGTCCGGAGAATCGCCGTGAGGTCCCGGGAGTCGAACGCCCGAAGAAGCAGCGCCGCCACAGCGCTCGAAGTCCGCAAGCGCCAGCAACAGCGCCCAAAGTAGAAGCGGCCCCAGTCGTCACCGAGGCTCTGCTGCCATGCGTAGCGGATCACAGCGCAAGCGAATGCAGGGCTCTACCTTTTTCACAGGACTCAAGGCGCCTTGATCAGAGGTCGGCAGTTGCCAGGTCAGCGGCTTGCCAATGCTTCAGGCATGTGCGGAGACTGCTATGTTCATGTCAACTCTGAGCTACTTTCTGCACAGTTCCACAATAGTAGAGGAGGCCCTATCTAAATGGTTTTTCGGAGACCGGGTGTTTGACGATTAGGCGGAACACGTCTCAACATTAGGGGCTAACGATTAGATTGCACAAAACTGTGAGAATTGTCTGCAGAATTCAGTTTTGGTCTGGAACAGGCAAGCATAGGGCAGAGCCCAGATGGCCCCCAACAGCTAAAGCAAAAAGCAGACCAGAGATGGAGATGCCGTGTTTGGCCACAGTCGAGGTCATCAGAGTAGCTGGATGTTCGCTGTGCTGAGCTGAGTCCGAGACAATGTTTTCCCAATGCACGACAATGTGTGGTCCGTGTCCATGCAGCTCGTCATAGGCATCGGGCCGTTTGTGCCTGGCAGTTTGAAGAAGGAAAGCAATTACCCGTCTGCAGTTTTCACTAAATTTGACGGCCAGGGCTGGGGCCTTTGTTTAGCCTCACTGGTGGCCTTGAGGAGGGGCACTCTGATAAGCTGGTTTTGGTGTGGCCACATGACACTCCCCTACCTGTTGGGCATCATCGCCCACATCAAATTAAGGATTAGAATGATGCCACATTAACTTAACCGCCTTCGGGACGGGTGTCTTCCATGGCACGACGACTACAAGAGTATATGAGCGCCCTAGTCCCTCTGCATTTCTCTGCTTCTTGCGAGGCCTCTTCCTATGTTCAGCCTCCGTCTCTCGATTGGCTTTTCTAACCTTTGTGTTGGCCCTCAATTACAGCGCAAGAAAACAACGTTGCCGAGCACTTCCAAGTTGCTCATGATTCATGCCCAAGGCATGTCCGATCTCATGTACCATGGATCCCACATAGAAAATGCTGTTGCACCAGCCTGCCGAGCAAACAGGGCAGAACACCTGTTTGCAAGGGCTGTTTGGCGTAAATGACTGGCATTTAGCCACATGATGGCAAACATGCGGTGTTCCCAGAAAGATTACAAAGCGGATTTTTCTTCTTGACTTGGCAATTGCAAATGTGTCTCTACTTTTGGCCAGTGCTGATGGCAGTGACGTCCATGACACTGATCATTGCTATGGCTGTCATGCACTGCAAACAGTGGAAAGCTCGAGCTGGATCGAGAAGTTGAATCTAACAGGAACACCTCGATTACGCCAGCTACATGCGTCTCTGGGGCATCTGCTGAAAGTTGAGACAGCAGCCTTGCCTAGATTGATGAGGACGGCTTGGGGACGTCCGTGCCAGTATCCTGGATAACCTTGACCCTGGCACCAGCAGCTGTCTTCGTCGTAAATGCCTACCTGCAACAGCAGATGCTCATCCCCCTCAAGCTTCCTGTGTGTGACATGCTTTTGAGGTGTCGAGCTGTCATGATGCAGATCAACCCATGAAGCATCGTGTAGCAGATGTGGCCCTGAAATCTGTCCCATTCATGTCATGCTTGCCTTGATGTAGGGTTGGTTGATGTGGATTTGCAACACCTGAGAAACAGGAGTCATTGCTGTTGCGAAGTTTGATGTGACGGAGGATGCCAGACAAGCAGACTCACCGCACCCCATAGTTGTCCTCCATCCCTTGAGGCCTCCTTCAGGACCACGCAAGTTCCCTCATGCCAGCGGACAACGGCAGATCTGAAGGCTTCCTGCACGCTCATAGACAGTTCCACTTCGGGCACACAAAGATTCCGCTTTGACAACATAACTACATGACAGTATTGCTTCCTGGTTCGGCAACCATCTAGACATTTGTGCTGAGAATTGTTCAGCTGCAGGGAGTTGAGGCGTTGGCTTCCTCCAATTCCCCACTTCCGACAAGTATGGATAGATGTACTGCTTGCCTGCCTTGCGTGCATTGTCCACGCCGTGGTCGAACACGTAAGGTATGATCACATAATCCTTCCAGATGTCGTTGACACCTTGCTTCCCAAGAGCTTCAAGGGTGCAAGACATCTGCCCGACGAGTCAATGAATTTCAATGAACTTCGGTGACCAATTGCCGGCGGAAACACCTGCAGGAACCTCCTCAATACGGTCCTTGCAGCACACGGGCCACAAGCTTCACCAAATTGGGCGCATCAGAGCGAAGCAGAATAATCAACAGAGACCCTGTGCGCACAGACTCGAGACTTCTGTCCTCCCAAGGTCCGCTGCCCACGGCACAATTATGGGGATAGCCTCATGTCACCAGCTAGAATATCCAGTCACAAGTCCTCGCATTTACCTGTCTCCAGCGCCCAGCGGCATGCACGGGACCAGGGAAGTTGTTCAGGAGCATCATCTTGCCTTGATGACTTTGGAAGCACAGGCCCGGGACCTCCCCCTTGAAACAAAAAGCTTGGATTCCACGATCAGGCTTGGTATACACAAGTCAGCACTACTGTGGTCACATCGGAATGCTGAAGCTATAATTAGTGAAGTCGAGCTGCAGGTCCCTCATTTTGTGCCCGACTGGAGTCTTTTCCATGTGCCGGTGCGCCGGCGGAGCGCCTATGTCCTCCTGGTGAAGATTCAGGCCAGAAAGCTTTAAGCACCCAGGTTAACCAAAGCAAGGTCACAACATGTCAAGACGCACAAAACATGACCAACGCACCATCGCATAACAATCCGCGGTAAGAATGCTTTTAATGCCCGGGCTTGGCCTCGTGGCCAACTAAGTTCCTGCACGGTCTTCTGCAGTGCAGCGTTCTTCTTTCAATTTGGGAATCGCGACTGAGTTCACTCAGTTGCGCATGATTGCATGCAGAACTAGTTCAACTCATCAGCTGCCCCGGCATCCTTATGGCCCGCCCTTCAACAAGCTGGGCTCCTCCGCCGCAGTCTGCTGATGCCCAGCAATCACCTGCAAGCAGCGGATTCAAACTGCTATCGATCGCTGACCTTTCGGACTATCACGGGACTATCACAGGACAACTACACAAAGATGAATGAAACCAACCCATTGCTTCAAAGAAGTCTGATGTTATTGCTTGGCAGAGGTGCGCTGTCTACGTACTCAATGTCGCCAGCCAATGCTGACACCATCCTTGCAGCAGGAAACACAAAAGCGGCTGTGAAAATGCGCTGCATGGGGAATCCTTCGTTCTCATTAGAAAATATGTATCACGGTGACGCGCGTTAGGATGTCGGCACAACCTAGTGAGCAAGCAGCATGAAACAATCCATGGCAGCGGAGGCAGGCGGCATTGTGAACACCAAAGCTACGATGGTCTGCTTCCCGAGCCGATGTCAGTGCCAAGCGTCGATACTGGCAGACCTCCCGCCTCGAAATGACCAACATAGCGGTAGGCGCGCAGTGGGCAAAGGCCTGGACAGCAGCGGCATCATTGCCCTGGGATTGCTTGAAAACATGAAACTAGTCAGCTGGCACGACTCCGCATCGGATTTCCCATCAAAGTCGCACATGTCTCACAACAAAATGCAAGATGTGGTGAAAGAAGGCCATCTGCTGACTATGGGTCCAACCTGACCTTCAAGCTTACATCGCAACATTTCGATGGCTATGTAGCCCCTGAAGCCGACAGCCCTCGTTCTCTCTGTATGCCTTTGTCTGGTTCCGCATGCTCCAGAACTGCCACCTCAGCTTGACAGAGTCACGTTCCCTATGTACAAGCCTGAACGATATCAACCAGACCTGGTATGGGCCACAAATTGGAAACGCGCGTAACGAGACCATGCCTTGACAACTGATCTAAATGTACTGTTATTGCGTTATATTGCGTCGTGGTGTAAGTTGCAACGCATCGCTTCGAACACTCACGCTTCAGGTTCGCCCCTGGGCTGGTCTGCCAACACCACCAAGCCTGAGGAACGCTTTTGTCTTTTACCAAGTCAAAGGGGTTTTGGGACATAGGGGTCGCCATCCTCAGGAGCGGACGCTGCCAACTGCTTGCGAGTACTTGCATGCCAACCCTTAGCAAAATGGAGTGCCTGGAAGTGCAACAGCGGATTGCCGTCCCCACGATGCCGGAGATTACCTCGGTCAGACTCTATCGACTGCATCTATTTTCCTCAGGAGAGATTCAAAAAAAGCAGGGCATGGCCCATCAAAGAGCAAAGGGGAAGCTCCTTGCAGCTTCGCGGCGGTTCGCAGATGACACCCCACATCGGCATTCACTCTCATCGACCAGGGCAAAAATATCCAAGCCCTGATGTTTTCGTTACAAGTCAGCAAAACAAGTTGTTCGTAGCGTCATGCTGCAACCTCTGTCGACTGAGGCTTTCGAGCCTTGCTGGTGCAGAAGTCGTAACATAGAGAAGGCGACATTGCATTGGAGTGCATAGAGTAAAACCTCCGATGCAGCTCATCAAAAGCAGATGGCCAAGCGCGATGGCTATCAGCACAAGTTAACGTTCGCCAACACATCCCACAGAGACCTAATGCGATGATATCTGCATATGCCAACAGCAACACATAGCCCTCATACCTCTGTACAGAGAACGACGACTCCAACGCTGTGTATGACCAAGCAGCGGCAAACCACTCTTGCAAGGCAGTTTGCCATCATAGTCCATGCAGCTCCAATCTATCGCAGTTTTTCCTGCAAATTCATCTGGCAAGTTCCGTGCTGTGCAAGGCCAGTAAGAAGTTTGCAAGGGAGTCTTTCTGCCTTGTGTGACTGCACTTGGGCGGGTACTCACTGACACAGCGCTCTTGGCTGATTTCCGGAATCGGGCCCGCCCATGTTGCGGCATGTGCTGACCGATATCTCATTTCGTTGAGTGTCCAGAGAATTCATCTGACTTCTCAGCAACCGATGGCTTGTGTTTGTGCCATGGTACAAAAGCACGCCAAGGTTTCTCAGCCGGCAACGTCGTGGAAAGCAAGACTTACTTCCAGCATGCCTACCTTGAAGCGTTTGGTTGCTCAGTACTGGGATGTTGTTGCGGCCCCCTGCTACGTTTACATTGTTGGTATTTAGGCGAATTTGCATTCCTTTGGGACTCCAGGCACTTTACCAGTCGGGTTTGGCACTGCGAGGACAGCTGGAGGTGGGGCACTCTGAGGCTGGACACCCGCAGGACTTCCCGCACACGCCGTGGAATGTTGCCGCGTGTCATCTTGAAATCTACAGTAGCAGTCTCACACCCAGGGTAAGAAATCAATCTCCGTCGGAGACATGACAGAGGAACGTCACACATTACATCTGAACTTCAGTGAACGTTTGTAAAGATCAGAGGGCCGCAGGTTGGGCTCTAGAGACACCAAAACAAACTGTAACGGAGCGCGATTCTGTAAAATCTGTAGAGAAGCGCCGAGCAAAGGAATGCAAACGCAAGCCGCGCAGCCTGCTCAGGACATGTCTGCTCTGTCCCATCCATCTTAGCACACCAAATGGTGTCACTTGCAGGATCTTGCGTCCGGCATGCCCCAGAAAATATCTGCAAAGGCAGCATAAAGGTCGACCTGATCTCTTTCCATCTTGAGTGTGACACGGGGGCCCGTAGCTGCAGATCGAGTCTGATTCTTGGCGGTCTTTATAGGAGGCATCGTTGGATTTGTACTTCCTTGTGCTTAGCAAAGCATCGTGCTGGTCTTCCGCTCTCCATTGTGGCAACCCAAATGGTCCTTGTCTACCAGGTCCTTCATGCCCGTCAACGCGCTTGAAGCAGCCTAGCTCCTTGCAGGCAGGGTCTCGTTCTGTGTGGCAAGCGAAGGGTTTTATAATGCAGCTTGCTTACTTACACTGTCCGGTTGGGTTGGAGAAGTCCACCAAGGCCGCAGGGTTGGGGCATTTAGATGAGTTCCCACCACCCACAAACCCTTCCCAAGACACACCGTCAATTTTGTTCTTGTCATTTTGGAGGTTTGTCTGGGCTTGGGGCGGTGGGGTTGCTAACTTAAGTTGAATCTGGGGCCGCAATCCCAAAAAAAAAGAGTTCATTGAATTGAAGGCAGCAAAGGTTCATTTGCCACAAAGTGCAATAGAGGGATCATTCATGAGAGATCACCACTAAACAGGTTTTTCCCGATCACGCCATGCCGGGCCCAGCTCTAGGTGAACCGTCCTTGCTACCCTTGCACTCCCGGGGCCCACACTACGAAGTAGCGATCCATGTCATCTGGTGAGGTGCAGGTAGCCTCCAGTCTGCAACAGCGTAGCAAGCAAAGTTTGCGACAATCTGCACGATGCGAACACACTGCCGTAGTATAAGATCCAACTCGTATGCCGGACGATTGTGGGGGCTGCGTGTCTGTCGCGCCTGCTTTACATTTCTACGCACTACTGGTTGTCAGGTCGGCCGAATTGACTCCACCACAAGAATTTCAAAAATCCCTTGGCCTGGCTTGGGCACTTCGATGCTAGCGCAGAATTGCAGGGCAGCACCGAACAGTCACAGTCTTTTGTTGTAGGAGGCGCTGGCAGATTCTCGCAGATCTCCTGCACAGGCTCAAAGTATATTCTCCAAGGTTGAAAGAACTGGGACGACTAAGCATGCCAAATCATGCCATCATGTTGAGCTGGCACGGTGCTCCGGCGGCAATAACGCATTTTCAAAGACTGCCACGCACTTGACCTCCCGAATCTGCACTGAGCCTTAGCCGAAATACTTCTTGCTATGAGATGTGAAGGGATACTTGTAGCTTCCTTCAGATTGACACTCGTAATTTCCAGTTCAAGGGGCCGAAGCTGCATTGGGTGCAGTCACTGAAGGAGGAGGCCACCCAGGCAGCACCCAACCATGCCGGAGCATGATTCCTTTCAAAGAGGACGATTCTTCGCCGGCAAGAACTAATTCTGCTGGCTACCACTTGTAAGAATGTGTTTCTGGGTAGCTATGACATCATGCATGAGCACACATCTGCACTAGAAATGCTTTGCCACGGGCACCGAGGTGTTGTGGTGGTAGTTGTGGTGGTGGTGGTCGTCGGGGTAGTGGTCGTGGTCTTGCTTGTCGTGGTTGGATCCTCACGCGTCGCCTCACGGCTTTTTGCCAAGGCTGCGATCAGAAGCAGCGCTGCTGGATTTCGCAGCACAGATCTGGCCATGGCAGTTCGGCCTCGCAGCTAGGAGATCTAGCAGTAGTGAAATGTATTGAACCAGGACAAGTTAAGTACGTACGACACTTCTTCCACTAGGGTGTAGGACCGTGTGGAGCTCGTAATTATGGGACATCAGTGCATCGCCCTGAGCAGACCGGACAAACCAAGCCACTGCTGCTAGTGGGCTGCAGAAATTCTCGTGAGATTTTGCCCAAGGGGAGCCAAACCAAAAACACAAGTCTGAAGGCAAGTTGGGGGTGCTTGTGTTGCCGACCCTGCATCTTTCGGCATCCCGCATCATGACCATGCGGTGTTTACAACAAAGCTATTTTCACTTCTTCCTGGATGTAAACCGAAGGGTATCAGAAGCCGAAAAGTGGCGAAGCAGATCCCAGTGATGCTGGCGCCTATCTCTCCTGTACCCTAAAATGAGGCGTTTTAGGTTATTCATGTCTACGGATGTCTACGGCACACCCCACGCACACAGCAAGGACAGCAATCCCTGCTCAGAAACAACTATCTGCCACCCCTTGCTCGAGCTGCGAATTAATTATCCATTACATGCGTCTCTTTGCACGCGTCCGCTGCATTGAATCACACCAAGCGAATTGAAATAATTGGGGGTAGCTGTGCTGGCACAGCTCCAAGGGCCTTGGGAAATTGGAGACCATGCGATACCATGCACGCTGCATACGGCAGCTCGAAAGCTCTTGACGTCTTCAACTGCGCTCAGCTGCTTTGAATCAATTTCCCTCGTTCCTTTACTTGGCAGACGGCAACCGCAGCCATCCCTGACCCGCAGACGGCAGACTCAACGTGCTGTTCATGTTTGGGCTGATACACCTGGGTATGTCGTGATCAACCCAAATGGCTTGCAGTTCATGCGATTCATCCACCTGCGTGTCGCTTCCCCTCGTGCAGCTAATTTTGCACAAGGTCATGTTGTACGTCTTTGTCAGCAAAGTCTGTCTGTGGTGAAGGTCTCTTGATGCAGGGGCAATATGCATTTCTCGAACTTGCTTTACTGTTCGCATTCCAACCTCGTAGACGTACCAGACTTGCGCAAGCTTCCATGAATCCGGAATCCATGAATTGTCATCTGTACAACAACGATATCTGAGGTCCAGCCAGGCCATGTTGACCAGCAGCTGCAAGTCCCGCGGCCTTCTTGGCCGACCTCGACATTCAAGAAGATCAGGTGCATGCAAATACAATTGAGTTGCAACCTTCAGCGTGAACGCACGACAATACTATGAGAATTCATGGATTGCATAATGCTTGGTTCATCTGTCAAGGCTGTCACGCATAGTTGGCTTGCATGGTTTCGAGAGATGCTGGACGTTGCAGAGGGTTGTGTCATGCAGGTCACGCCACGACTGCACCACGATTGTTGGATGAGCTACACAAGCACGCCAGCCTGCGGAGTTTGGAAAGTTGCCTTTTGTCGTAACACTGTCGTCTTTCAAGCTGAACTCAACTTTCACAAGCGACGCTCGGTGCTGAACCATCATGGATCCTTTCGTCCGTCGGCAGGAGATATGGCTAGTGCCGCCTACTAGAGGCAGCTTGTCACCCTTCCCGAAGCCCTCAAGCACGGAGGCATGAAAACGTCCTGCGTGCTCCAAGTAGTCCAAGTGAGGATCTTCTGAGCATCTGGCGCTCTACATGGCACTCCCGGCTCGCTGCCTGCAAGGCAAAGGCTGCACCTTCAAGTGCAAGCTGCCAAGATGGCTGAGAGCTGAGCCGGGCTGAGGCTCATGGAGCCGAGGACCTATCAAAGAATTCCACAAAGCGCTGCAACTACATCCACTGTTACAGGCTTGCGAGCTCATGGCATTTGGAAACAATTGGAACTATCTGTTGCTAGTGGGATCTATCGGACATCAGCACCGCACATGTGACAGGTCTCTCCCTTAACCCAAGAAATGCAAAGCCAGCGGACTCATGCAAGCTCCATTTGATGTAGGCCACAAGGACATTTGGGGGGAGGTGCCGCAACGTACCACGATGCACTACGGTCAGAAGCTTCTACAAGATTCTACAAGAAAGAGCTCTCTGGGTGTGCTGCAGGAAGCGACGGAGCTGGAGGTCCTCAGCTGAATTCAATTGAACTTGACATGAGTTCCTTGCCTTACAAATGAGCTTGCAAAAGGCAACAATCGCAAGGAGCTGCTGTGCGCAAAATTGCACAATTTGAATCGAGCTGTGCGAACAGTTGCGGGGCCATTCACATTGTTGGAAAGCACCACGCGCAAGACCCATTCACTGCATCATGCTCGCATTTAGCAGCTGAGCGCTGGACAAATATGGCGACCTTTATAGTGTCCCTCTTTATGTAGAAGGGGCTCCTCGGCGAGACATGTGCTTGATCAGCACACGACCGCTGATTAAATGATCTGTCGGCTCAAAGTTGCAAAGCTTCGCATGCATGACATCCAAAAGCAAACAAGCCGGCACAAGGTCAGGTGACTCTGTGCGTATTGTGTGTACCGATGAACTGATGAATCCAGAACCCAGATCAAGCAACCATCCTGCTTGCAGCAGAACCAAGGCTGTGTGGTGTTTGTGCACGTTTGTTGCCCTGCAGCCAAGCGTCTTCAGCACCCGAAGCTTTGGCTTCAGCAGCCGTATCGAGGTTTGAACTTAGCCAAAAAGCCAGCATCTGGGTTGAATGGTGGGGGAGGCAGCAGGAGGCTTGTGAGGGTGCGCTTGTACACTCCTAGCCTTAGCAAGCTTGTGAAAGCTTTATTCAAGGTTGTCAAATGGCAGAGTAGGCCCGTCCAGCAGCGAGGCCAAGGATCCCAGCCAGGACTTCTCGGAGATCTTTGCCTGGCAGATGATGGCAGATGGATTGAGCCTGTGCTGTGCAGACATCTGCAGACTGCAGATGACTGCGGCTATTCAGGCCTGGGCGATGACATGTTGGAGGAGCGCCTGTCGGAAAGCGTCTTCATTCTGACAAACGCTGATGGGTCTTGGGCTTCATGCAGCGCACCTTCGCTTCGCAAGGCTCTGCACCAATTTCGAGCGTGGAGTACGCTCCACAGGAAGAGGAATAGCCGGAACCTGCACGTACACCAAGCAACCCCAAACTCACAAGTTGGTCGGCTTGCCTGCTCGTCCAGGGGCACCGAATTGGCTTGCTGCGCCACAGGCTCTGCAGTTGCAACACCTGCACCAGATCTGCTCAAAGAGTCATTCTTGATCTTGCTTGACTCGCGGGTTCAAGGCTTAACCCAATTCACCAGAGCTCTCTATCGCCTCGCACCATTGCCTACCTACACCTTCTTGGCTCGAGTCTTAGTCGGTGTAATTTTACGTAACTTCGGCAACCTTGGAGAGAGCTGCCACCGGCAGCGCTGTTGGGCGCTCCATCTTCCCTGCCGCAAAGCAAAATCAGCAAAGCGTCGCCGTCCCTTGGGCAACGAGCAGCGAAGCCCCGAAATTGGTCGCGCATCCGGAGCACCGTGCGATCTTTGGTATCCGAGCAGGGGCCTTCGAAGCCGCGAAGAGGCGGAGCTTGTCGCGGCTGTGGACCTCAACAAAGGAATAAGAAAGGCAGATGAAGACAGCCAAAAACGCTCAAAGGTGCCAGGCTTCACTGGGTCTTTGCCAGTCTCATCCCGGTCATCCTCGATGGAAGACAGCAGCGATGCCTCGGTCCAAAGCTGTCGCCAGCAAGAGCTTGCTGAGCTCGGACGGAGTTTGCCAGAACGGTCACGCAATGGTTCGCAGCCGAAATCCGAAAGGCACTCAGAGTTGAGTATGCAGAAGAGTGGTTTCTCCATATTTCTCCTGCCCTTGGCGCTTAAAGACCAGCACGGCCCACTGTTTTTTGGATGTGGATGGATGGAGTCAATTGAGCTTAACAACGTTCCTGACTGGTCATTACCAAATGGACTACATGTGCTGTCAGAGCACGCACCTATGAAAAGGAGCGAAAGGAACCCTTCATCAATTCAGTACAGGGTGCTCACTTTCCAACACAATAGACCTGGATTGAGCTTGGGGAAGGTGAGGAAGAATCGCCAGGTTGCAATCATCCTCGAGACAACTGAACCAATCAGGCAACGCCCCTTTGCACTCGTTCCAGCATAGCTTGGCTATACGGGGCGCTGCATCACCGGACCTCCGCTTCTCCAGCACTACAGAGGAATCGTTGAACCAAAGACCCCCAAAAAAAGCATCATCAGCACGGACCCTTTTCAAAACTAGAGTGGCTCCAATGTGGATTGGGGGGACCAAAACAGAGAACCAGACCCTAATGACGCTGATGATGCGTGCACGCACGCGCGCGGCGCGATTCTGGAGCCGGCCTTCGCAAGACTAAACCTGCACGCAATTTGCCCTCTGGCGTTGCCCGCGCCTGCGTCAGTCCCTAGATCCTGAGTATCTTGATGTACGAGTAGGTAGTCGGTGGGCCAGTTACTGTGGTCTAGCTTTATTGTGATAACTCCAATTAACATCCATTAACTCCCTTGAGCTGGCATCAGAGAAATGCAGCCGAGCCATCAATGCCAAAAGGGGTTGCCAAAACAACCGCAAGCCGTACAGAGAGACAAATCCAAGCCTCACAGCGTGCGGCTTTGCAGTTCTTGCAGTTCTTATCAGAGGGAGATCTTCATCACAGGTGTTAGCCACAGCGTCTGGTTGATGCAGCAGAGAGCCAGCGAGATACGGCAACATGCGGCATTGCACGAAGTGTCAAAATGGGAAAGTAACAGCGGTGCCCTGGATGTCTCTGTGCCCTTCGCGTGGTCAACCTGGAACCATGCAGCCCGAAAGCTGAGAAGGCAGTCTTACTGGCTGGGGATGCCTGGTCCTCAAAAGGCGTCTAGGTTTTTAATGTTTTTGTAACGAGGGATGGCACTCAGCCGCTACAGTAGCGATGGAGGCAACACATCCTCCGCCTCCTAATCATCATCGAGAAACAGACGTAGGTGTTCACTGAGGGCAACATCCGTGGTAACATCCTACATTTGAAGAGCGCTTGAGTGGTCGTCTGC